TCGACTCCTCAGAGTGACCCTCCTGGCCCCACTTCTCTGTAAGAGTTGTGGCATGGTTACTGTCTCCGCCGCTCGCTGCGACACAGAAGTTGATAAAAATCTTCAATTTCTTCATCTTTGGCCTTAGTTTGGACCAAACTAAACAAAACAAATGTTTGGACTTAGGGATATGGTCATGAGAAAAGTGTGATATGTATAGTAGTAAAAAAGAATGAGAGAAAGAAATACCCATATAGGTGGAAATATAATTACATAGGATTTATAAGCAAAGAGAAAGGTATGAAAGGATAAACTCCAAACTGTATAACACTGATTACTCCAGTAGGGGAGGGTGATTGGAGCTGGGAAGGAGAGACGATTAACTTTATATACCTTTGTATGATTTAATTTGTTCCAAAGAACACATTATATTAAAGTTGCCATAATACCTTATATTGAGTGAAAGACATCAGTCTTAAAAGATTACATGCTGTATGATTCTACTTATATGACCTTCTACAAAAGGCAAAACTATAGTGCTGGAGAATAGATCAGTGGTTGCCAGGAAATTAGGGATACAAAGAGGGTAACATAAGCGAATTCCTTTGTGGTAATGAACCTGTTCTGTATCCTAATTGTGGTGGTGGTTATAGAAATCCATAAAAACAAAAAACCAAACACACTGCTGTCAAGTCAATTCTGATTCATAGTGACTGTCATGGATTGAATTATGTCCCCCAAAAAATGTGTGTGTCAATTTGGCTGGGCCATGATTCCTGGTATTGTGTGATTTTCTTGTATGTTGTAACTCCTGCATCTATGATGTTAATGAGGGAGGATGGGTGGCAGTTGTGTTAGTAAGGCAGGACTCAAATCTACAAGATTGGATGGTATCCTGAGGCAGTCTCTTGAGATATAAAAGAGATAAGTGAGCAGAGAGACAGGGGGACCTTATACCACCAAAAAGCAGTGCCAGGAGCAGAGCGTGTCCTTTGGACCCGGGGTCCCTGATCAGAGAAGCTCCTAGTCTGGGGGAACATTGATGAGAAGGCTGACGGAGAGAGAAAGCCTTTCCCTGGAGCTGACACACTGAATTTGGACTTTTAGCCTACTTTACTGTGAAAAAATAAATTTCTCTTTGTTAAAGCCATCCACTTGTGGTATTTCTGTTATAGTAGCACTAGATGACTAAGACAGCGACTCTGCAGACAGAATAGAACTGCCCCATAGGGTTTCCAAGGAGCTGGTGGATTCAAACTGTTGACCTTTTGATTAGCAGCTGTAGCTGTTAACTGCTGCACCACCAGGGCTCCCAGGAATGCATACATGTGCTAAAATTAACAGAACTGTATACCAAAAAGAGTCAGTTTTACTGTATGAAAATTTAAACGTAAGATTCAAATTGCCAAAAAGCTAAACAAAGTTTAAGAATTATGTTAATCAGTTTTTGAATATAGACAAAGTTTACAAAGAACCAGCTTTTGGTTTAGTTAATTTTCTGTGCATTTGTTTTTATTTTATTGATATCTGCTCTTGACTTTATTATTTCCTTGCGTCTGCTTTCCTTAGGTTTGATTTGTTGTTATTTCTAGTGTTACAAGTTGGAAGCTTAAATCATTGATTGGCAGTCTTTCTTCTTTTTTAATATAGATGTGTTTAAAGCTATGAATTTCCCTCTAAGTATTGCTTTAGCTGCATCCCACAAGTACTCCTATGTCATATCAATATTATCATTCAGTTCAAAATATTTTCTAATTTCTTTTTTTTTTCCTTTGACTCATGGGTTATTTACAGACTACAATTCATGCAATGATATGGGTGAATCTTGTAGACATAATGTTGAATGTAAGGAGCCATACTCAAAAACATAGACAGTATGATTCTATTAATATGATATACAAAAGCAGTCAAAATTATTCTATGCTCATAGTGGTGATGGTTGCACAACATGGTGAATATAATTAATGCCACTGAATTGTACACTTAAAGATAGTTAAATGGTAATTTTGTTGTTACATATATTTTACTATAATTTAAAAAAAACTATGCTGTTAGAAGTTAGGATAGAGGTGACCCTTGGGTGAGGGTCTGAAGGGCATCTGAGGGCAGGCTGGTAATATTCTGTTTGTTCATCTGGGTGCTGGTTGCATAGATGGGTTCAGTTTGCAAAAATTCATCAAGCTGTCCCCTTTTGTGTATTTTTGTATATGCATATTAGATTTCAACATGAATATTTTTTAAAACACAGAAAATAATGAGAGAAGGAAACTGACCAAAGAAAATTCTTCTCCCGCCACAGCCCCCAGATTTTGACTGGGATCTTGATGCTCAACCCCAGGTGGTAGGAAAGAAAAAACCACTCACCTCCGACACCTGTCTTCTGCCGAGCGATGTACGACTCGAAACTCAAGCGGAAGCGGTTCTCGCCCCCCAGGCGGCCCTGTGTGCCGTCGTCCACAAGGAAGAAGGCAGAGTAGTTGTAGTCAAGGGAACATTGGCCACTGTCCTCCTGGTCCCTGTCCTTGGGGTTGCTGCGCCACGGGTACCTTGCAGGGAAGGAGCCCTGAGGGACAGATGGTCAGACTACGGTGTCTTTCAATCAAGGAGTACAGGCACCAGTCACTCCTCCCCTGGCACCCGAGTCTTGACCCCCAGCCTTTCCTCCCTCAGACCTGAGAGTCCTGACCCCCGACCCTCCTTCCTCAGACCCAGGAGTCTGGGCCCCCAGCCACTCCTTCCTACCTCAGATCCTTGGTCCCACCTTGGAGTTGAGGAGGGCATCTCTGTTCCGGACCACGCCCCAGGGGGCCACGCCCATGGCTACCACCTTGCTGTCCCCAGTGCTGGCCGTCTGGTGGTCCCGCACTGCCACACCAACATGCCGGCCAATGCCCCTGTGCAGCCCGCCGGTAACAATCCAGGCCCCTACAGAGAGATGGAGAGTGTGGTGGTGAGAAGCAGAGACAGATAAAGATGAAGGGAGAGAAATAGACTACAACGAAGACAGATGCTGAGCCATGAGGGTGAGAGACAGCCTCCCAGAGGAGAGGGGGAGATGGCAGCCCCACAGGGCAGCCGGACAGCCCATGCACCCGGCCCCCAGTCACCTGTGCTTTGGGCAGCCCGCACCAGCCCGCGACGAAGCAGGTCCTGCAGCCAGGTCTGAAGGATGGGGGCCCCTGAGCCCCCCAGCACTGACACCACCAGGTTTGGAGGGGGGAAGCCCCATGTGTTTGTGACCAGATTATAGGCTGCCGCTGGATCCGTGCGGTCAGAGAGACGAAGGAACTGTGGACACACGGCGGGAGGAGACACGGGGAGAGAGAAACAGAGACCCAGAGAGAGAGGGGGACAGACACCCAGAGAGAGAAGGGGACAGAGACCCAGAGAGAGAGGGGGACAGAGACCCAGAGAAAGAGGTGGACAGAGACCCAGAGAGAGAGGGGGACAGAGACCAGAGAGACGGGGGAAGAGTCCCAGAGAGGGGGGAGACAGAGACCCAGAGTGAGGGGACAGAGACTCAGAGAGAGATGGGGATAGAGACCCAGAGAGAGGGGGACAGAGACCCAGAGAGAAAGGGACAGAGACTCAGAGACAGGGGACACAGACCCAGAGACAGAGGGACAGAGACCCAGAGAGAGGAGGACAGGGACCCAGGAAGCAACATAGATAGGGACAGGCAAGTTAAGGAGACACAGGGTTCAGCTGAGGCACCCCAGACCCAGCCCTGGGATCCCTGAAGCATATTAGCCCGCAGCCCCCCTTGACGACCTCGACCCTCCCAGACATGCAGCCTCACATTGCTGGCCTTGCGGCCCGAGCCCAGGAAATCCAGGTCCCCGTAGGCGTCAGTAGGCTTCTCGGTGGTGTGCACATCACTATCCCAAACAGTCACCACAGCTGCCCCGAATGCGTCCTCTACAGCCACTGACAGGTGTGCATTCCGGGGGCACCCACACTGGCACAGGGTCCCTCTGGGGGATGGGGAAGGGGGAGCATGAAGCCCAGGGGCATTACCCCCAACCTCAAGCATCCTGTAGAAGTGTCTAGATTTTGTAGAGGGGGCTGTCTACACTGACCCTGTTCTCCCAGAGACAGCCACACCCTATGCTGACCTTGGCATGACCCAGAGAGAGGAGGACAGAGAGCAGAGAGGGGGACAGTGGCCCAGATAGGGAGAAAGAGACTCAGAGAGAGGGGAGGACAGAGACCCAGAGAGGGAGACAGAGAACCAGAGAGAGAGGGGGACAGAGACCCAGAGAGAGAAGGACAGAAACCCAGAGAGAGGGACAGAGACTCACAGCGGGGGGACAGGAACCAGAGACTCACTTTGGGCAAGTGGCTACACCTGTTTGAGCCTAAATTTCCTCCTTAAATAAAGACAATAACACAGCCTACTTCACAGGTTTATGACGAGTCAATGAAATAACCACCCCCGTCCATCATTTTGTTGTACTGTGGTGGCTTATGTGTCTCTATGATGCCAGAACCTATGCCACTGGTATTTCAAATGGAGCTTCCAGAGTAAGACGGACTAGGAAGAAAGACTTGGCGATCTACTTCTGAAGATCAGTCAATGAAAACAGTATGAATCACAACAGAACACTGGCCAATATAGTGCTGGAAGATGAGCCTCCTAGGTTGGACGGCACTCAATATACAGTTACCACCACAATGGACTCGAGCATACCAACAATCATAAAGAAGGCTCAGGACCTGGCAACGTTTCATTCTGTCGTACATGCGGTTGCCATGAGTTGAAGCCGACTCAACAGAACTAACAACAATGAAATGAGCAATGTTTCCTGAAACGAGAACTGCATACCAGTTCCAGGCTGACAGCCAACTCTACATGATCTTCAGATAGCCTTAACTAACCTTGAATTACACAGTGAGAAAGTCATTCCTTTTTCAGGTCTCCTGATTACGTCAAGGAGAGACCCTCAGCCGAGTTCTAGAATATCTGTAATGCGTCTCCCTTTCTACTCTTCCTTTTGAACAGAGCAAAGCGGGCTTTGGGCTCAGAAAAATAGGCTAGGTAGTAAATACCTTTATTTGATTTTCATCGTATTTGTCTTTAGTGATTTGTTTCTTTATCTTTGTGGTGAACGGAATAAATTTTCCATTCACGGTAAGCATATAACACTATTTTTTCCCTACATAACTGTACAAGTGTCCCTTGATATCTAAATATGGTTGGTATCTGAGTTTCAAAGAACAAGTAATGAGGGTTTGGGGCATGAGAGGTTCATTGGAAAATTTCATCTAAATCTCTTTGGTCCCTCAAACTTACTGATCTGACAGAAACTGGAGGAACACCAGAAACTAGCCCCCGGACACTCTGCTAACCAAGAACTGAAACCATTCCTGAAGCCCACTTTTCAGACAAAGATTAGACAGGCCTATAAAATAAAAAATAATAGCTGTGATCTTGTGGAAGCAGATCACCAGGCCCTTCTGCTGCAGCACCACTGGGTGGATTCAAACCACCAGCCTTTCATTTAGCAGCCCTACATGTTAACCATTTGCAGCACCCAGGGACTCCCCATCTCCAGCTGGTACTTCTAAAATCCTAGATCCCCAGATCTTTCCCTGCATTTCAGGCTCGAGTCTTCACACGCACTGGATCCTCCCAAGTCCCTCATATACATGATGTTCCACACTGTGGTCAGCAGCAATTCCCAAGCCTGCTCCTTCTCTTGGGTTCCCCATCTCGGGGGGGGACCCACTGTCTCCCCAGTCACTAGACCTCATGTCCAGGATTCATCCTTGCCCCCTCCCCTCTCACTCCCCACATCCATCAGTCCCTGTCATGAATTGAATTGTATCCCCCCCAAAATATGTGTCAACTCAGCTAGGCCATGATTCTTAGTACTGTGTTTAATTGTCCTCCATTTTTGTGGTATTGTGTAATTATGTGTTGTAAATCCTAAACCTCTATGTGTTAATGAGGCAAGATTAGTGTAGGGTATGTCTGAGTCAAGTCACAGCCTTACACAAGTCACACCCTTACTCAAGTCATGCCCTTGCTTGAGTCACATCTTTTATCTTACAAGAGATAAAAGGAGAGAGAGACAAGCTGGGAGGAGAGGGACCTCACTACCACCAAGAAAGAAGAGCCAGGAGCGGAGCACATCCTTTGGACCCAGGGTCCCTGCACTGAGAACCTCCTAGACCCAGGGAAAGCCTGATGCCAAGATACATGGAGATCTCCAAGGAACACCAGGCCTACAGATGCTGAAAGGAGATAAGGATCTTCCCGCAGAGCCAACAGAGAGAGAGACTTCCCCTAGAGCTGGCACCCTGAATTCGGACTTCTGGCCTCCTAAAATTTCAGAATAAATTTCTGTTTGTTAAAGCCATCCACTTGTGGTATTTCGGTTATAGCACCATTGGATAACTAAGTCCCCAAGTCCCATCCTCCTGCCCCCTGAATCTCTGCCTTGTTCCCTGCTCTCTATCCCCACAGTCCTGGCCTGGCTCAGGCGTCTTCCCCTCCTACCTGGATCCTGGCCCCGGCCAAACTCCTATTCATCCTCACACAGCCCCAGAGGGTCCTCCCACACCCAGAGATGACCTGCGCCATCTATGACTCCCCAGCACCCCGAGACCAGGTCCAAGCTCCTCAGGGAGGTGTTCAAGGCCCTGCATGGGTGGCCCCACCCTCCCCTGCAGCCTCTTCTCTCAGCAATGCTCCTTGCACCCTGAACTTTGTTCCTCTTTTAAACCACATCACATTGCCATTCAGGGGGGACTTTGCACATGCTGCTCCCTGGAATCACTTTCCACGATTCTTTCTACACCTCACCTTCAGCTGCCAAATGCCAGGTCATCCTTCAAATGTCACCTCGCTGTCCTGTCTTCCAGAAACCACTAGTGATACCTGTGTCCCTTCCTGTCTTAGCCAGATGCCTCCTCTCAGCTCCCGCAGGGCCCACTGGTACCTCCACTGCAGCTTCCGTGTCCTTGTCTTACAGTCACCCTCTCTCTTGACACATCTGCCTCCTCAGAACAGCGGTTCCCAAGCTTCTCTGACCATACCTCCCCTGTCAGTAAAAAGTGTTAGAGCGCTCACCGCCAATAGAAGGAGCCCTGGTGGTTCAATGGTTAAATGCTTGGCTGCTAACCAAAAGGTTGATGGTTCAAACCCACCCTGCGGCTCCGAGAAAGAAAGATCTGGTGCTCTGCTTCCATAAAGATTACAGCCTAGGAAACCCAATGGGGCAGTTCTACTTTGTCACATGGGGTCACTATGAGTCGGAATCAACTCTGTGGTCCTCAACAACAACACCCCCAATAAATGGATGCTTATTTATACATAATTTGCAAGCCAAACTGCACTAGGAGTTCCTGGGTGGTGCAAACAGTTAGGCACTTGGCTGCTAGCCAAAAAGTTAGAGGTTCCAGTCCACCCAGGTGCCCTGAAAGAAAGACCTGGCAGTCTACTTCTGAAAAATCAGTCATCAAAAACCCTATGGAACAGTTCTACTTTGACACATATGGGGCTGCCATAGTAAGAATTGACTCGAAACTGGTTTGGCTTTTTGGTTTACTGCACTAATAGAATATGTTCATGATAAAATACACACTAAGTTAGGAATAGGAGTCCTTGGTTAAGCACTCAACTACTAGCCAAAAGGTTGGCAGTTCGAACCCACTCAAAGGCACTACGGAAGACAGGCCTGGCGATCACCTTCTGAAGGGTCACACACCCTTGAAAACTGTGGAGCAGTTCTACTCTGCAAACGTGAAGTCGCCATGAGGCAGAGCTGACTAGACAGAAACTAACAAGAAGAAGAAGTTAGGAAGGTTGACATTTTCCACACCCCAGAGACTGTCTTGAGAACAACCAGAAAGCCAGAGCCCACTTTAGAGACCATCAGCAAAGACGGAGGGTTCCCTACAGTGTCCTTGGCCCCAGCAAGCACCTGCACATGTTAATAATTGCTGCAGCTATTTCCTGGCACTTACTATGCGTCCATCACTGTTCTGGAAACTCTACATGCATTAGCTGGTTTAATTTTCACAATAACCCCAGGATGTAGGGCCTATTTTTATGCCCAGACAACAGATGAGGCCCAGAGACGTGAAGTGATTTGCCAAAGCCACAGAGCACGTGGGTTCAAACCCGGGCAGGGCCTGCACTCCTGAAAATTATGCCCTCCTCCCTTGGAGTGCGAATGAAAGTTTCTTGAATGAATGAAACAGAGGCAGACAAAAGAGAAAGACACAAAGAGACAGAGACAGTCAGAAGAGACACAGGGAAGAACAAAAACAGTGGAGCCCTGGGCTTTTACACGGACCCTGAGCAGGCGAATTAAGGAATTGGGGGTGTCTACAGCCCTGATGGTGCTGGTTAAGCGCCGTTGGTTAAGCGCTGGGCTGCTAACAGAAAGTTTGGCAGTTGGAACCCACCAGCCGCTCCGCGGGAAAAAGACCCGGCAATCTGCTTCCTTAAAGATTACAGCCTGGGAAACCCTAAGGGGCAGTTGTACTCTGTCCTATAGGGGCGTTACCAGTCGGTATCTACTTGGGGGTAAAGGGTTAGTAGCCCCAAGCCCTGGGGACCGGGGGCGGGGGGAGGGAAGCGCCTGCAGGGAACGCCTTTAGGAATGTCGGCAGTGACTGGAATGGGGGAGGGGCGGAGCCGGAAGTGGGCGGGGCCAGAGGGCGGGAGACACTCCCGGGTCGATCTGGGGCGAACTCCTCACCCCGGATCTGTGAGGTCAATGATGAACGCAGTGCAGGTCTTCTTCTTGAAGATCTTGGGGATCCAGCTCTGGGGATGGGAATAGCGGAAGGAGGAGGGGGACCCAGTTCAGTCCTCATGGGATAAGGGGTCACCCACCTCGCACCCTACCCCAGGATCCCAGCGACCTACTCCCCAGACCCAGGAGGCTCGGCCCCCAGGGCTCTCCTACTCTTTCCCAGGGACCCAGGAATCCGGGGGCCCCCTGTTCCCTCCTCCGTCAGACCCAGAATAGGGGTCTCCAGCGCCCTCCTCTCCTGGGAAGCAAGAGGCCGGCCCCCCAGCTCCCTGCTCCATCAGACCCGGGGGTCCCGCCGCAGTACCTGCTCCTTCTCCGGAACCACCATGCTGCTGCAGCTGCCGCAACTGAACAGCCCACCCGGCTCCCCACTTTCCTTCTACCAACCCTCTTTGCAGACCCGCCCGGGGCAAACCGGATCCGCCACTTTCCAGCCCAGCCTTGGACTGGGTGAGGTCTAGGGGGCGGGGAGGCTGAGACACGTAGAACAGGAGGCGGGGAAAGGGCCAGGACCGAGACTGCAATACAAAGACGAGAAAGAGGGAGACAGAGATCCAGAGAGAAGGACAGACACCCAGGAGAGGGGGCAGAGACCTGGGGGGGGCGGGTACAGAAACCCAGAGATAGGGGGTCAGAGACCCAGGGGCGGTGGGGGTGGGGTGGGGCAGAAACCCAGAGAAAGGGGGACAGAGACACAGAGAGGGAAAGACAGAGACCTAGAGCGAGGGGGACAGAGATACATAGAGAGAGGAGGACAGAGACCCAGAGAGAGTGGGACAGAGACCCAGAGAGAGGGGAACAGTAATGGGGGAGAGTCACACTGACCCAGAGAGGGGGGAAGACAAAGACTTGGGTAGGGGGCAGAGACTCAGAGTGACAGGGTGACAGAATCCTGGAGGAGTTGGGACAGAACAGAGACCACAAGAGAGAGGGTGACAGAAACCAAGAGAGTGAGAAGACAGAGACCCATAGAAGGGTGGCGCCCCAAAGAGAGAGGGCAATAGTGACGGCTGAGGAGGGGAGATTCTGATACTCAGAGAAAGGCAGGGCCACATGTCACCCTGCCTGCTCACTGACAGGGACAGCTGCCGCTCTGTAACCTGAGCCCCCGCCCCCTGCTATATTTATAGCCCGGGCCTGGCTGGTTCCCCTGCCCTCAGATCTGAGTTCCAGCGAGAGGAGGTCACGAGGATGTATGTTGGGGGCAGATCTCCTTTTCACCCCCTGCAGGGTTCTCCATATTGCACCTACTCTCTCACCAAAGCATCCCATTCCAGCTGGAAACACCCCATAACCCAGTCCTCAACCCTTCCTTTGCAGGTTCCCATCAGATATGTCCCTCCTGCCCTCCGAGGTGCCCCAGGCTCCCCTACCTTGGCCAGCTACAAGTCTAGCCTTCATCTTTCCAGCTGCTAAACATGAGCTTACTGGCAGCCCAAAGTCAAATCCCTTGGCTCCCCTCCCCTGGCCAAGGAGAAATCCCTCCACCGGCCCACCCACCCCCAGCTGGGAGGAAGAGGAGCAGGAGGGAGGTGTAGAAGGGGACTAACCCAGAATAACTCAGGGCTGAGAGTAAATTTAGCCACAGAGAGGGGAGGGGAGAGACCCTATTGGCTGGGGAGTGAGGAGGGAGGGCTAGGAGGGGGGTCAGGGAGCTCCGGAGACCTCAGTGGGGTGTCCAGAGCTGGGCAGAGAGGGCCAGAGGAAGGCAGAGACAGAGAGAGACAGAACCAACGGGAGACACAGAAAGAGAGACAGACCCTAAAGGGGAGAAGGACCCCAACATTCATCTAACAGCCACAGGGGTGGCTGGAGTTGGTGCTTGGAGAGCCTCTCCTGCCCTTCCGTCCCCATGGGCCACCGTGGGTCATGGTTGCACACTTTCCTCTTCTGGGTGGCCGTGGCCAGTCTGCTCCTGCCCCCAGCCATGACCCAGCAGCTGAGAGGGGCCGGGCTGGGCCCCAGCAACTGGAACAACAACGCACAAGTCAGCAGGCCCTTGGAGGACGTGTCAGCCGAGGCTGGCCACCACGCCCACAGGCATGGAGGCCATCGAGATGAGAATGAGGACATTTCCACAGAGAATGAGCATCATTTCCACAGCCACAGAAGCCACAGAGATGAGTACGAAGATGTCTCCAGTGAATATGGGCACCGAGTCCACGGCCACAGGTACCAAGGCCATGAGGTTGGGGATGAGAACATATCGGATGAAGACATCTTCACAGAGCATGTTCAGCAGGTCCATGGGTACAGAGGTCATGGGAATGAAGACATGGATCATTCTGCTGAGCATGGGTACCACGCTCCCCGCCACAGCAGCCATAGCCATCAAGATGAGGATGAAGATGAGGTTGCCTTCAGTGAACACCACCCTCATATCCTCAGGCATGTCCATCATGGAAAAGAAGAAGAGGATGATGAAGATGATGATGATAATGATGAGTATGGGCACCAGGCCCACAGGCACCAAGGCCACAGGAATGAAGAGAAAGTGGATGTCTCAGATGAACACCGCCACCATGACCCCAGCCATGGGCATCAAGGCCACAGAGGAGAAGATGATGATATCTCCATTGAGAATGAGCACCAGGTCCATGGGCACCAAAGCCAAGGCAATGAAGATGATGAGGATAACTCAGATGAACACCACCATCATGTTGTCAGCCACAAGCACCAAGACCACAGAGAAGAAAATGATGATGAAGATGAGGATGATGAGGATGTCTTCACTGAGCATGGGCACCAGGCCCACAGGCTCCGAGGTCATAGGAATGAAGACGATGAAGATGTCTCATATGAACACCACCACCATGTTGCCAGCCACAAGCACCGAGGCCATGAAGAAGAAGAAGATGATGATGATGATGATGATAATGATGATGAGTATGGACATCAGGCCCATAGGCTCCAAGGTCACAGGAACAAAGACGATGAGAATGTGTCAGATGAGCATCACCACTATGTTGCCAGCCACAAGCACCGAGGCCACGGAGACAAGGAAGATGAGGATGTGTCCACTGAACACTGGCACCAGGTTCTAAGACATGCCTACCCTGGCCTTGGAGAAGAGGAGGAAGAGGAAGAAGAGACGGAGGCGATCACAGTTAAGTTCAGCCACCATGTTCCAAGCCACCAACCCCAAGGCCACAAGAGTGATGAGGAGGAAGAATTAGCTGATGAGTATAAAAAAGCAGTCCCTGGCCATCACCCCCACAGAGTCCCCAGAGAGAAAGAAGAAGACATCTCTGCCGAGCTTGGCCATCAGGCTCCCAGCCACAGACAACAAGGCCACAGAGATCAAGGGACTGGCCATGGTCACAGAGGGTCTGTCAAAGAGGAGCTTAACTACCAGCTCCCAGAACACACAGGGGTCAAGGATAGAAGTCATTTAAGGAAGGGAGATTCTGAGGAGGAAGAGGAAGAGGACAAGGAAGAAGACCACAGTTCCCATAAAGATGATGAAGGTTCAGAGCAAGAAAAGGAAGGTGCCCGCCATGGCAGCCTGGACAAGGAGGATGAGGAGGACGAGGAGGAAGGCCATGGCCTCAGCCTGAGCAAGGAGGAGGAAGAGGAAGAAAGGAGGGAAGAGAAAGCTGAGGTTTGGGCCCCACTGAGCCAAGACCACCAGGAAGAGGAAGAAGAGGAGGAAGAGGGGCTGGAGGAAGATGAGCTTCCCTTCACCATCATTCCCAACCCACTGGCCAGTAGGGAGGTGGCTGGAGGTGCTTCCAGTGAAGAGGAGAGTGATGAAGACACAGGTAAGTGGCCTGACCAGGTAGGGGTGAGGAAGAGCTGGGTCAACCTGGGTCACCACTGCCCTCCTGTCCCCACAGGTCCACAAGATGTCCAGGAATACAGGAACTACCAGCCAGGGTCCCTGTGTGGCTACTGCTCCTTCTGCAAGGTATATTCCCGGCCCAGATCAACCACCAAGCTGTCCCTAGAATTTGTTCCAGGGGCCCTGGGGTGTCATGGGACGACTCTGAGCAAGGGAGGGCACGATCACTTGTGGATGAAGGAACACACTTCTGGGGCCACATGGGAGACAGACTGGAGGCCAGCAGTCTGGGGTGATGGTCCAGGTACAGCTGGGGCTGTGAGGACTTAGCGGAGGGTTCTTGGCAAAGACAGCCAGGGGCAGGAGGAACAGACTGGGGATCGACAGGCTGAGAGACGAAGAGGAGGGAAGAGGGAGACCAGCATCCACAGGTTCTGCCCAGTGATTGGGGGATGTGGGGTCATCCCTAGGTAGGGAATCCGGAGGAGGAACGGGCTTGGGGGGATGACTGTGAGCTCAGTGTCGGAGGTAATGAGGGTGAGGGGGTCTGAGGAACTGTCCAGTGGGCAGGGGTGGGCTGGTGGCTGTCGCCACATGGGGTTAGGGTTTCTGTCTAACCAGGATCTTCCTGTCCCAGCGATGCACTGAATGTGAGAACTGTCACTGCGACGAGGAGAACATGCGCGAGCACTGTGACCAGTGCCAGGTGAGACCACCCACTCAAGGCTCCACCCAGGCCTCAGGGTGGCCCCAGTCCTAGATCATGAACTCTGACCCCAAACTGACCTAAACTCTTGCTCTTGATGCCAGCTTGACTCCACACCCAATCCTGAGCATGAGTCAGATTTTGACCTCGACCCCCACTACGTCCTGACTCCGTTCCTGACCACGCCCTAAAAACAAAAAAAAGCCCGTTGCTATCCAGTCGATTACGACTCATAGCGACCCTATGACAGAGTAGAACTGCCCCATAGGGTTTCCAAGGAGCACTTGGTGGATTGAACTGCCGACCTTTTGGTTAGCAGCCGTAGCTCTTAACCACTATCGCTCACTATTTCTCCCCATTCCCCCAGCACTGCCAGTTCTGCTACCTCTGCCCTCTGGTCTGCGAAACTGTCTGCACTCCAGGTGAGCGTGGGCGGGGCCCAGGAGAAACCCAAGCTCTGGTGGGGGCGGGGCTAGGTGGGAAGGCGTGGCCAAGACTGTGCGCCTGTGGGTGGGGCGGGGGTGAGCCCGGAGGGGTGGGGCCTGGACGGAAGGAACGGTGGGCGGGACTTGCTACCACCAAGGTGAAAGGAATGGGTGGAGGGCTGAAGAGCCGAGCCAAAGCTAGTAGAATTCGAAGGGACGGGGCTACTGGAGAACAGGACCGCCCAGAGCAAGGAGAAAGGGGCGGGGGCTTTAAAGGAGTCCCAGTGGGATTTTAGCCTGGGGGACGAATTAGAAAAAAGGTACAGAGCAAGTCCTAAGCCCAGACCTAGTGAAAAGTGACCCCCTGATTTCGCCCGTGGAGTACCCCGAAAGCCTCTTCACTCTCTTGTCTCCCGCAGGAAGCTACGTCGACTACTTCTCCTCGTCCTTGTACCAGTAAGTGTGTGAAGGGGGGAAGTTTAAGGGCCTTTTTCACAGGGGACTGAGTCTGAACGTCCGGAAATGCTCTGTCCTGCTATGCGTTAGCGGACGCCCTAGGACTGTTATTTCCCCGTCCTTGAAATGGGTGGGTTAACGGTCTCTAAGCGTCCTAGGGTTAGCTTTGGACACTTTCGGCTTATCTAAGCTCTGTGTCCTCCGTCTAGAGCCCTGACCAACATGCTGGAAACTCCGGAACCCTGACCCTGGCGTAGACGTACCTCCCCGGCCCAACAAACCCTTTCCAAGGCCATATTTATTTCTCTGAATAAACGTGCTCCCGGAAACCTGCCAAGCGTGGGGTTTGGATTCTCAAGGCATCAGGGAACGCTGGTAGGGACTGGGGACCTGGATTCATGGGTCTGAGGAAGGAGGAGCCTGGTGGCCAAGACTAATGGGTCCTCAGGGTGATGGGGTTGGTTTCTTAATTGTCCTCCCAAATAAATCAGTCAACACGGGGGCTTTTTGAAACAGTTCTCTTTACCCGTGATCACTGAGTGACGCCTGGGGCAAGGAGACCGAACGAGGGTCGAGGATGAGGGCTCCCCCACTGGTCCCCCCACCCCACGCCACGTCGCCCAGTGGCATCTTGGAAAGAGGATTCTCCCATGCAAACCCCGGAGCCGGAGGGGAACGGGGAACGCAGGTCTGCGCCCCCTTCCCCCGGGGCAGGGACACGGCCACAGCACAGGGGGCTGGGGGGCCCCGGGAACACGAGACACGGGGTAAGGAGACAGGACCCAGCCCGCAGCTGACCCTGGGGCGCGGCTACTGGACGCGGCAGGGCGGGGCCGAGTGGCACAGGGGGCGAGGCTTGTAGCAGCGAGTCCCCCCTCCCCTCCTTTCGGACGAAGAAGGAAGACTTGGGCCCCGCAACAGGGGAGGAAAAAAGGGAAGCGGGCAGCCTCTCCTCGCATGCGGCCCGGTGGGGAAGCCCCGCCCCCTTCCCGGGGGAAAGGGCACCAGTCTGCCATTGGAAATGATCAATAAATTACAAAGTAGAACAAAGGGAGGTGGAAATTTGAGGCGGGATTTCTTCCCGCCCTCTTCCTTCCCCCCCCTCAGTCCAGTTCATGTGGTTTGGTCCAGGCCCAGTCCATTTGTGAGGCGGGGAAGCGCATCCCCCGCTTGTCTGTACAGATGGTCCGGTCCGCGGCGCGCGCTCCCCCGCCCGCTCTCCCAGGCGAGACCATACTCTGGGCCGGAGGGGGAACGGCCCAGCCTGTGGAAGGTTCTTCCATCCGAGTGAGGTCACCTGCATTGACGCCGAGCAGTGCGTGGAGCAGTGAAGATCCACTGTGCCGCCCCACACCCCCAAAGTTGCCCAGTACAGTCCTCACCTGGAGGCCTACACTAGCAGGAATAGGTCCGGACCGAGACACCGTCTGCCCGGGAACTCCCAGAAGTCTGGCCTAGAGGGAGAGCGAGCAGCGGTTCAGCCTGGAACACCTTCCCCCGAGTCCCTCCCCAGGGTTTCGCTTCCAGGTTCTTGCCTCCATCCCAGGAGTCACCCCTTGGACTTCCCTAACGATGGGCAGTCGACGACCACCGGCTCCACGCCAGTTTCCCTCCATCTCCCTCATCCATGAATTCATCCAAGGTGCCCAGGTTGCACTGGGCGAGCTCATTTCCCACCCTGGGAAGGGGGTGAGTCTTGAATACTGGAGCAGTCCATTTGTCTGGGTGGGGGAGCAGAACTAGGCCATTTCAGAACCTGGAGAGGGAGGCTTCTGGAATGTTGGATTGATCCATTTCCCAGCCTGGGAGAGGGAAGGGGTAGAGGGGCTGTCTCATTTGGGAGTCCCCCCACCTTCTGGCTGCAACTTGCGAAGAGGGAGCCCTGGCGAGCCTAGGGCCCCTGCTGCGGCCGAACGGAAGTTGGGGGGCAACATCTCAGCTGAGTCGGGGGTTACGCCTCGGAGATCCTTCTCTCGGAACATCTTCCGCCAAGATGGGGAGCGGCTGAAGGACTTGGAGCTATCCTAGGTACAGGGGCCGGGCAGCTGGTGAGGGAACTGGACCTGGTTCTGGCTCCGCCCCTCCCTTTGGCTCCGCCCCTTTCGGTCTTGCTTATCCCTTAACCCCGCCCCTCTCCTTATCCCTGCCCCTCCTGACCCCGCCCCCAAATATGACTCGGCCAATCAAGCCCCACTTCAGCTCCTGCGACGCCTCCTCAGCCGCGGTCACACCCACCTCGTCCAGCCGCCTGTCTGTGCCCAAGGAGATGAGGTTGCTGAATTCTTTCTCCAAGAGCTGTCGGGCCTGGAGAGGGAGATGAGAGAGGGGTTAGAGGGCACAGTCTATGAGACGGGGATGCCCAGTATGCCCCGGGCTGAGCGGCAGCTCACCTGCGCATTCTGCGTGGGAATTTGCAGGAGCAAGGCCAGGTCGGAGTAGTCGAAGGTCTCGTCCAGGGCGAGCAGTGCCCCATGCACCCCGCTCTCCGTGAGGTTCGTGGCAAATTCCTTCAGGCCCAGCCCGGACACCCAACCCATGACCCGCTCGTTGGACCACACCATCACGTCTGGGAAGGGAAGGGACCCTCAGCCGCGTCCCTCCCGTGGCCAGGTGGTACCTCAAGCTCTGTCTCTGCTTTCCTAGCCACGTCCCCTCTGCTGGCCCCACCCTTCACTTGTAGTGGGGCCCTTCCCAGGCCTCCCTCCCCACCCCTAACATACCTCGCCTCAAACCCCTTCCCAAACCCTTTTTCCAGGCTCCCAGCAGGACACTTACACTCTTCTACTTACCTCGAATCTGAGTCTGACTCTCCTCCCGCCTCCGCTCCAGGTCCTTCCGGTCATAGTTGAGCCGTTTCAGGCACATAATCCCATAATGCAGACTCACCCTGAGCAGCAGGGGAAGTGCAGTCACAGAGGAGCCTTCACAACCCCACTGGCTGTCTCTCCTATTGGGCCCTCACCCATTGGCTGTGGTCTTCTGGGAGAGGTTGGGGAGTTCTTCCATTGGATCAGTTCTATTGACTATTGACCCTCCCAGGAGGTAGGGCATTTCCAACAGGCAGTTCCTATTGGCTAGCCTGGAGGGGGTTTGGGGTCAATTAGCCAAGCTCTCTCAGAGTGTGAACTTTTCCTAATGGATCATCCTTATTGGTGTTAGGGGCACAGGAGGCAGGATTTCCTGAGAACCCAGGCTAAAAGGGCCGAAAATAATCCAAGGAATTTCCCATCCATCAGATTCATTGGCCAAAGACTCTCTACGGGTGGGGCTTCCCCCTGGGCTATTCCCATTGGTCAGGCAGCCCCCACCTGTGGAAGCTGTCCACCATCTTGAGTTGGCCCCGGAGCTCCTTCTTGTTAAGATGATCTAGCATGCGGGCATCCACCAGTGACTCCATGAAGTAGCTGCGATACTGGGGCAGCCCCAGGCTGGGCAGCCAGTCGTTTCCCACCCACTCGTGGTTCATGTCGCCATATGCCAGGATCTGGGGCCATGGGCAGGTGAGGAGGGAGTCAGACCCCCATGTATGCATGAAAGGGGTACAGTCCAACCACCCTCAATCCAAGGTTCTTTCCCCACCCCATAGCAGGACCATGACCAATCGCTGCTTAGGACAATGAACCAATCCAAAGTTGTCCCCTAGCCCTTCATAACGACTGACTATTTTGGCTACTCAAAGCGCGGTCCTTGGATCCACAATTTCACCATCACCTGTGAACTTGCTGGGATTGCAGAATCTCTGGCCTTATCCCAGACTTACTGAATCAAAATCTGCATTTCCAAAAGATCTCCAGGTGATTTGAACTGTACATTAAAGTTTGAGAAACACTGGCCTAGCATTGTCCCGGCTTAGGATGACGGATCAGTCCAACATCGCTACTCCCCAGAGTCAAGACAAAGGATTCTTCCAACTTAACTCTCCACACAACAAAGGTTAAGTGATCCGTCCATCACTTGCAATGTCCTGAAAATACTAGTTTAATGCTATATCCTAGGACAATATTCTGGAACCCAAAGCCCTTCACTCCTTTTAGGATAAGGAGATAATCCACTTCTCCCTATGGCTCAAAACAAAGACCACAGTCCAACATAGTTCCTCCACCTCAGGTGAGTTCATGCCTCCGACTTCATCAGAAAAAAGTGTGGCTCCTCCTCCCCAACTTCTCAGCCTAAAGTGCCCCAACCCCCTTTGCCTTGGACTTTGGGACAGAGACCCATTTCCCTTCAACCATAAAGAAAACCGGTTACTCAGCGTCTCCCTCTAGTGACAGAAGTGGAGCAGCACCTAGAGCCCCGCCTCCCGCGATAATGAATGGTCCGTGCACTAGGCTAACAATGGAACAGTCCGGCCTTACACACACCCACCCACCCACTCTCTCTCACACACCCACACCCACACACACACCCACACACACACACACACACACCCACACACACACACACACTCACACGCGAGCTACAATGAAACAGTCCAGAGCAGAGCCGCAGCCCCCCCAGCAGGGATGATGGAATGCTCCTGCGAGGGTAGGGGCGAGGATCGGAGAAGGAGAGGCGTCCATGCAGCGTGCACAACCTGTTCATGCGCCCACGCCCCGCCCCGCGCCCCCTACCTGCTCCCAGCTGATCTCCTTGGTCTCCTGACCCGTTAGTGGGAAGAGGGGAGAGAAGGGTGGGTTACGGGGCAGGCAGAGGAGGGTGGGAGGGACAGACTGCAGACAGCTACAGACTCGGTCTCCGCCCCCACCCCCAGGGAAGGTTAGTACCATCCCCAATGTAGCCGGCAGGGGGCACTCACAGGCTTGGTCGTGGCGGTGAGCGACTCCATCTCCTCGTGCGTCATCCACACGTTTCCTGTGGACTGAGGGGCAGGGGATTTTACTGAGGGTGGGAGGGGGGTTCCTGGATCAGGAAAGCGGAGAGAGGTCGTGCCCCTGGAGACCCCAGGCCATGAACATTCATCCTATCTGCTCTAACTCAGAAAGTGCCGTCACTGCTCACCAAGTGACAAAAAGAAAAGGAATTGTTTAGCACCTACTGTGTACCAGGCGGAGCCCTGGTGGTGCAGTGCTGAAGAGTTTGGCAGCTAACCAAAAGGTCAGCAGTTCGAATCCACTAGCCGCTCCTTGGAAACCCCATGGGGCTGTTCTATTCTGTCCTATAGGGTCACTAGGAGTCGGAATTGACTCCACGGCAACAGGTTTGCTTTTTTTCGTTTTGGTGTACCAGGCACACACGAGCACGGGCTTTGGGGTTGGACAAATTCAAGGCTGAATTTAGAGAAATTTGAATATAGACTGAGTAATAGATGAAGTTA